AAATTGCATTAAAACCTCTTTGCCCTCATTAATGGTATTGTTACAACCCCAGTACTCTGGAAAATGTTTTTTGGCATTTGTTTAACTTTGTGATATTGCCATTTACTCATTTTAACAGCCAGTGCTCAAATCTTAATGCTTTTAATAGGCCTGGCCAAACAGACTACCATCTTTTGTGAATGTATTGAAGTAATTCATTAAATAAATAGAAGTTGTCAGAAAGCAGCATTTTTTCTTATTGATGAGAGCAAAAATGGGTTTCATATAATTTGTTTACAAAACTGCATTTCAGGAAGGTTTTAGAAATGAGCAGATTCTGCTCTTTTTTCACCGTTAGGCCCAATTCATTTTCTGCCACTATGACAAAACTCTGAAGATTATTTTTTTCCTACCAACTTCAAACAAATCTCAGTAAAGTAAAAAAAAAAAAAAAAACCCCAACAGAAAACCAAGTCTTGAACTAAGAAGAGACAGACATTCAGAATTAATGCTGAAACTGGATCCTCCTCCAGCCTGTCATATATGGAGGTGGCACATTTATGTCCAGGCCAGGAGACAGAATATCCCAGGATTTGGGCTCATATCCAATGCAGACACACTGCTGTGCAATGGCAGGAAAGTCAACAGTCAGAGGTTAAACCGAGGTCCAAACTACCTACCTAAAGGGAATCCAAAGAGCCTGCCTGCTGAAAACAGCCTGAGTTGGACCAATTGCTGTGCTCTGCTCAGAGAGTTGAGTGATGTTGATGAGGTGTGCTTACCTAAAGTCAAGTAGCACTGCCAAGACCAGTACACCAAAAGAATGGGAAAAAACACTTGTCTGTAATGGCACCTCTACTTTGGCTGATACCTTCGATGTGAAGAGGCTCTTCAAGCAGGTTAGCTGGCTGCCTGCTCTGTCTGTCCTTACTGAAAACAAGGTGACCAGTCAAGACACTCAAGAAAATGGAGTAAGATTGATAGAACTTCCATCAGGATCCATGGAAACTCCAAAATGAAATTCAGCATTTATTTCTGCCAGTGAAAAAGTGACTCTCATAGTTTAAAACTCAGCAAGGGTGGAATTCTTCCACATAGCAGCATAGCTGCAAACCCCAATCCACTGCCACCTGCATTTTAAAACACACTGCAACACAAATGGTGTAAGAAAAATCTCTGCTACAGACATTTGAATATAAATAAATCATAGAGAGTACAGCAAGTAATATTTAAACTGTAGATTTAGGCCATTTGGCCACTTCTTAGAGGTTCTCAAAAGAAACAGTAACGTTAATATTTCTATATTCTTAGGCTTGTATTCCTGGAATTTCCTTATTTTCCCAGCTATCCCCCCCCCAAATCCATTTGAGGCAGCATAACAGAAACACACAGCAACCCTACGCAAATATCAATTAAAATTGGTATTTGACTTCAAAAGTTAAAGTTTTGTAAAGGAAAGGAGATACAGAAAAAATATGATCAATCTGAATCAGTGGTGGGCACTACCTACCTCTTAAAGGTGCAGAGAGAAAGTAGGAAAAAAAAAATCTGATTCCCAAGCAAATATCTTAAGAACCAAATCATCCAAAGCCTTTTGGCCACCTATTTTAAAGATTTTACTTCTAAGTTATGAGTCAATAATTAGCAGATACAAATTAACAAACATCTTAAAAAAAAAAAAAAAAAAAAAAAAAAAACAACAGAAAAAAAACATTAACATTATTGTCCAGAGCTTATTTTGTAAAAGAGCTACTAAAGAAAGGTCAGTTAATTCATCATGATGGATTATCACTAAAATTTATAAGCATTAGCATTTTTCTCCTCGCTGGATACCTTGACTTTGATATGACACATATTGAATGAATCATCTAAGATGCAGGCACCAGGCAAGATATATCTTAATGCAGACAGGTCGGCGACATGAACCTTAATGGTCCTTATCTTAATCTTGTTTAAAAGCATCTTAGATTTCTGAGTAATCTTTTCACCTTCTGATATTCTCTTTTATAGAGTGTTTTTCCTGGAGTTGCTACTGATTTTCACATAAATGCATTTTTGTTGCACGGTATCAACGGTGGGTTTTTTAGTAGCCCTGAAAAGCATCTTGGTTTGCAGTTTAATAAGTTCAGCTTATATTTAAAAAGAAAAGGTCAACATGCTGGAACTTTGTTAATTACTGAAAAATAATGTTACTAGAGACTACTCTGTATATTAAATACATCATCACAGCTCTTTATAACAGAAGATTACAAAATGTGCACTGTTTTCTGCTTGTGCATGCATTTTTGTCTGTCGTATTATTGATCTCAGGTATTTGCTGTACATATACAATCAAATGCTTAATTAAAGTGAAGGCAAGTTTCTCTGCTACCGTTTTTGGAGTTTTTTACTTAAATGCTAGCTCCTATAGCACCATACCCTGGTGACATTCCCACTGTTCCATAAGAAGCATCTTGTTTTCTCACGATTAGGTTAAAGTTGCGACATTTAGACAAGTGTTTGCCTTCCATTTATTTGCACACTGAAGCTTTCAAGTACCTGGCATCTGCACTTGTTGAGTAGGCTTCTATTCAGCACTCGAATAGTCCGAAACAAATCACTACATCTCTGCTCAAGTTTCACAGGCTCTGACATGAATACGTGGCTCATCACTTTCACCTGGAATTGGTGCATTACTATTTACAATGCTACCTGAAATCCCCAGGCAAAATACAGAGAAATAAACTTATAAAAGCCCCTTACACTTCAAGAGCTGAAAGAAGATTAAATGGTTCGATTTGTTCTACCTTTGCCATAAATTTATTCTATTTCTGATGTTGAATAATGACATTGCCCTGTGTCAGAGGACAAGCAATGACAGAACAGCACCTGGCTCCTGGCTCCATGCTCCCAGCACAGTCCATCACGACACACCATGCCACACAGACCGGCTTCTCTACCTCTGCTTCCTGTGGGCAGTGGTACACCTCCATCCCCTCTGTTCCCAGTGATAAAGGCTAGAAAGCACACCATTCTCACAACAGAACAGAAAGCGCACTCATATTTTATTAAAGCCTAAGATGCAATTTCTGCCTCTTTTTTTCTTGTCCTTTTATTTTTAAAGGAGTAGAAACTGAAATTTTGGAAGTAACCTAATTTTTGAAGATATCAGACCAACTCATTAATTTAGTGAGGAACATGACCAGGTACATTAATCCTATCTCTACAGCCTTGAAAAATTTCTTGAAAAGGTGCAATCTCCCCATGAAAATATCTGATAAGCAGTTTTGAAATGCAAATCTGCAGGTAAACCATATTCTGTATGACGACGAAAGAAAAATATCTTCTTTTCCCTGTACTAATATACTTACGCTTACATTATTCTGTATTTTCAACAAATTAATCTCTTAGTTTTAAAGGCAACCCAATCCAGAATAAAAGCAGCAGCAGAATGAAAAAGGGCATCCATAGAAAAATATTGGCAATGTGATTTTAAAATATCATCCTTCAATTGTCTGCAATTTATATTTATCAATACTTTTGCTGGGTTCATGGAAGTATTCCCACAAAGAAAAAACACTCAACGTGTTTAGCTGGGTGACCTTTAGCAAAGCATAAGGGCAGTGAGAGGGGGAAGGGTACCAGAGCTGTCCAGCAATCTCTTTCCCTCTTTACTAAATGTCATTACAAAGTCTTTCCATACCTTCAATTCAGATTACTATTCTCATAAAAACTTCCCAAAGCATTTGCCAGGTCTGTATGCAACAAGATCAACTATCACATGCTGCTTAACATTAAACGCTAATTAGAACAGCGATGACGGTGGAAACTGAAATATGCCCACAAACTCCTTAAGAAAATGAACCGAGTACAAAATTTGTTCTCAGATTGTTGCCTTTGTGTATCAGCAGAGTTTTGCGAGCTAAGCTGAACAAATTTATAGTCAGCAATCCACTTTTTTCACTGACTGCACATTACCTGGTCTAATGTGGTCACCTAATGGCTGCAGCCAGTAACTGCACTGATGACTGGAATCCTTTAAAGACGCTCAGAAATAAAAACGAAGAAAAATCCTTGCTTTGCTAACCCTTGTTGGTTTTATCATTTGTCATTCAGTTAAATGATCAAGCTAACATGAAAGCTTGGAAAAAAAAAATAATAGACAAGTCTTCTTTCACTTTAAAAAATATTCTCTTGCAAGGAACCCTGGAGATGAGCAAAAGGGTCTGAAACCTTTGTTTTTCCATGAGACTGCAGAGCTTTTTTTTTTGTTGTATAGCAGGGGCTTTCATGGTTTTATTGTGGTTGGTTGTTGAGTTTGGATTTGTTTACTTAAACATTGCTAAGATTTTTTAGAATTTAAAATGGAAAAAAAAAAAGTCAAATTCTTGCAAATATTACCTGAAAAGTCGGCAAGAATAACAGCTTAATATTGCAGGTTAATACTCCTGTTCCCTAGAGCTGACCAAAAATAACCAGAACTAATGGAGAAGAAAGCAGAACTTCTGTGAGGTACAAATTAACCATAATTAGATATCTGTTGTTAGTGAAATCTGATATCACATAGTCCGAAATTGAGAGATCTGATTCTTTTCAGCTGATGCCAGAGAGCAATTCCCATCAGACTCAGGAAAAAATATACCACAATCTTCAGCACAATGAAAGCAAACAAGAAAGAAGGAAAGCAATGAACTGGATGAACACCGCATTCAAATAGTACACAAAGAGTATGCAGAGTTGTTCTTTTTACTTCATAGGTTCGAAGCACTCAAAAAACAAAGAAAAAAATCGTACTCCTTTCATCATTACTGAGATGCAGACATTGTTGAAAACAAACACAAGCCTGCTGTTTCAAAAAACAAATCAGCATAGCAGCCAACACGAGCCTGAAGAAGTTGCAGTGCAATATAATTATGTTACTGCAATATATTTATTCTATGTGCATCCACATGTTGATGTGTAGAACGAAAAAATTCACAGTATGTTTTTCAAGGACAGCAGCTGTTTTTTAAAGGAAAAAATATGAAGAGAGATTTCCTTACCTTATAGGATGGCAAAAAACACAGAATTCCTTGGCCAACTCTTTGACACACTGAAAGTAGAAGTGCTCCCACCTCATCTTGGAACTCAAAGGTCTCTGTATGCTGGAACGTGGCACACAGCTTCCGACCATTCGGCCCTGCTCCAATGGTGCCAACCCAAACCTTGTGTATTTCACAATTAAAAAATTAATACTAAAGTAAGTAACACAAAACGTGCTAAATTCCATTACGCTAAACAATGAAACTTTAAAGACGAATTAAAATATTGAGATCTCTCTCTAGGCAAATGACTCCTGGCACTTACATACTTCAGAAGAGCACAGTAACTGAGATGAAACTGAATTACCAAATGGCACAGCATTACATCTTCAAAAGGAGGGGGCACAATTAAAAGTTTACTTTACAATTGCATAATTCCACGTACCAGCCTGGTCTGCACATTTTTTTCACAGAACTCACAGAACGCATCTGCCAGTATTTTTATTTGCAAGCTACCTTTATTTCACAACGGCCAGCATTATACCTGAAAGGAGGAAACAACTCTGCAGGAGCTTACCTGTGAGTTCCGGACAACATGACTGGCCTCCAGCTGAATGGAAAACTTCACGCCAAGTTCAGAAGAAAATGAATCCATTGGAGAGAGCGTACCAGAGGTCAGAACAATTGTTCTGACATCATTTAGGTCTGAAAAAGCCTAAGGAGAGAGAAATGAAGGAATTCAGAAAACAGATGCAATCAGCTACATCTATTTGCTATCATTCAAAATTAGTTCCTTCACACCCAGCTTACCACAGCAGGATTCAAGCACCAAAAATTAAGCATGTGAACTGCAGTTTTATGTCGCAAATTCTTTCTATGTTTGGTCTTTGCAAGGAAAGCACTTGTATCTGAAACATCAGGTTGGTTTTCATTTGTCCAAGCGTAAGTTTGTTGCAAAGCAACTCTGTAATCATCTGCAAACCTACCAAGAGGCACAGAAATATTAAAACTACAGTTAAGCAAATTGTAACATTAAGTCCATAAAAAGTAAAGACAATATGTTGCCACAAGCCTTTACAATTTAAGTATAAATAATTTTATATGCTGCAGTATCTGAAAACAGAAAAGCTGTTTGTGCAGGCTGTGAAGGCTTCTTCACTACAAGAAGGTAACTCTGCAAGAAATGTGAAGTTTCAATAGTTGTCAGTTCTCCTTTTGGATAAATAATGAAGCCTTGCAGTAATTAATATTTTTAAACAAAAGATTTAAAGCAGAAAGCATTACTAGCTGCTGGAATTTAGTAGGCAGAAGTCAAACAATAAGTGCTACATAGAAAAACAAAACCCATGCACGTTCAACTTGGCAATGCATCAAGAAAATTCATTTCTAACCTTCAAATAAATTTCTTCAACACTTGAATTCATTCCTGAGTGAAACCAATATAATTTGGTAGTATTTAAATTAGTTCTTAATGAACTCTTCCCACATAAGTAAATTTCCCAAAGCTTTTTGAAATGTTGGTTTCTCCTCAGAGTCCAGACACTATAACAAAAGTGTCACACAAATGAAACAGACTGGCAACGCAGCTGAATTGACCACCACCACTCAGCTCAGGCTGTGTGTTTACACTGACCTGCTGTTATCTTTAAAAAGATACAGAAGAACCATGAATAACCCTTTCAGCACAATCTGAGTGGCAGAGCTCACGATAGGTATCTCAACAAGCTCCTCTTTACCAAACATTGATATTTTTTCTTCTTTTTCCAAGACAGCAGAAAGGTGTTTCTATGAGAGGCAAACAAATTCCACGTTAACATCCTGATTTATCTTCCCAAAAGCAAAATTAGTACAGATGCAAGACAACCTGCTTTAAAAGTTCACCTACGACACCTATAAAGTCTGACTGAAGATAGAACTGGAAAGGAAAACTAACAGAGCTTTTGGCTTACACAAAAAAGAAAGGACAGGGTTGAAAATACTTTAAGTACATTTCAACAGTCAATAAAAAATGCAGACAGATAGAACAGACAAAGCTATTGGTGACTAACTGGCTCAATTTAAGATAATTGTACATGATCAATTTTAACCTTTAAAACATGGATTTTCTGCAAGTTGCAGCAGCTCAGATGGATTACTCCTGGTTTTCATCACGTATAATTTTTAGACAGCTTTTCAAAATTGTAGTGAAGTAACAGATGTGTTAACATTTAGTTTACGGGTATTTTAAGATGTTTAACAACTCTGGTACTCATTTATACAGCTTACAACATTACCTGTAAAATGGGAAAACTAATATTGGTTATTCCCATTTCGTGAAAATGGTTGAGCATTTCTTTTCCACTCCAAACCTTACAGGAGGTTTCATACCCTGTTTCTACCAGCTGACTAGAGCTTGCCCGTAGCCAGCTATAAAAGAAAGAAATCAGAATCAATTTTAACGCAAACTTTGAAATACATTCCAAGTACCAGAAAAACTGAACCTTGAATTGCACCACTCTTCCATAACCGTGATAAATACTTGACCACATTTTCCTTTCTGCCAGCTGATCTCTCTTGAAATGAGTTGCTCTTGATGCAGCTCAATGACAAGAGAGGAAAACTTCTCCCTATGCATTCATATTTTATTGTTATGTATTATTTTTACAGTAAGGAAAAGAGATTAAAATAAAATCTGTTCTTATGATATAAGATGTCAGGCTCATTTAGGAAAGATTTCTACCGTACTTTTAAAGCCACTCGTGACTCTAACTGATAAAAGTTGGATTGTCATCCTCTCAATTGCAAACCTCTCTAAAAGAAACAAATCTTCAGACATGAAATGACTCCTTTTAGTACCAACACAGATACCTGTAACTCTGCTACAACTTGAAAATTAAGCAGAATTATAACCACAGTGACAATGCAATACATGATAGGGCTTTCTAAAACCAGGACCTAAGCAAGCACATCATCTCATTTGTGGCAGTGCTAAGATTTCCACTACCTAAATACATCTTTCATCATCTCTGCACTGTTACAAAGGCTCTCCCCCTCTGTCTAGAAAAGCAGGCAGGCTCCTTCTTTCTCAGGAAATGCCGAAGCTGTCTGTCTCATCAACCAGCAGGAGGCATCAGAAAGACAGCTGTCATTTCTACAACAGTTCAAAATATGTATCTGTAAAATCAGTTAATCATTATCAAATAAAGCAACAAGGCTTAGTAACTGTTTCAGCTCCAGATTTCCTGTCCTGTCACTGCAAATCATCTGCTCAACAGAACAATTAGAAAACCTTCCTTTTTGCCAGGTTACACACAAAAAAATAATCTCCATAAATACTACCAGAACAATCACTCCTTTGGCCATAATTTGCTTTATCTTGTTGAGGAATGATGATCACTAATACAGGCATAAGTTCAACAGTGTACTACTCAGCCCTAATTCCTCAAATGCAACATCAAAAAGACCTGGAACTAAAATTAGGAAGATGCAGACAGAAATGAATGCGTGACAGCATGCATGAAATGAATGGTTAAAACATTTCAGGAAATGTAAAACCTCTGTTTCCCTGTTCTAAGCCTTAAATACCATCACATACTTTAAAGATGGTTTTGCTATAAATGCAAATGCAAACACTTTCCTAATCTAATACAAAAGGGCAAATTCTAGAAAAGAACAGCCATCCTATTAAATCTAACCGTAAAGCATTTACCTGAAACACCTGTTCATTATTTTAAATAAGGATTTATTTCCAGAGAAAAATCATAAGCATAAATAAAATCAGCTTCATTCTCACATATCCATAGAATTGAAGTGGAAACATCAGCATCTGCAATATTTTGAGGAAAGGATTCAGCACGTGTCACAAGCTGCCTTCAGCTCAAGCATGTTTACCCCTTCCCTTCCTACCAGAAAATCCTGTTGTTGACACCAAACGACCAATTGAACGAGTGACTGATTGGTCCTCCACTGACCAAGCAATTTGCCCTTTTAAACCTGCATCTCATCAGAAGAGCTTGCTAGCAAACCTCCATTGCTGTATCTCCAAATTCCTCAGAAAGGTCATTTTGGCACCTCAGTGGCACAAAGCCCATTGCTTAAGTGCTGCCTGGAACGAGGGCCCAGGACCTTTCCAAGTGAAATCAGATTTTTCTAATTACCCATGCATTTGGCAAAGCCACTTCACTTTATGCAACAGCACATTACCAATTACTGGCCATTTACACCCAGTCCTCTGCTTTCCAACCGCTTTCCTTATTGTTGGCAGTTGCCAAGACAATCAACCTTCATTTTTCTGATAAGGTTAAAAGGCTTGGGGCAATCAAATCTCCAACCATGCTATTCCCATCTTGTACTAAAATACAGCATTTGAAATAGCTAAAGTAGGAGAACTAGCTTCTGCAGAAGAGAAAACCAGAAGCCGTTTCTCCGACACAAGCATCAACTCTCAGGACAGAGCATAGGAAAACGATGAACTACTTGCTGTAGTGCTGCACAGTGTATTCCACCAGCCACTGACACAACAAAACAATGATTTGACATGCACTGCTTCAGAGCTCAGATCACTTCAAGGCCATGGCGTTTAGCTTTCTCACGTTCCCACTCCACACAAAACACCCTTGTGCCCTCGTTTTCTCCCCTTCTTCCCAAGCTTCTGTCCCTACTGTACTGGTTTCTATTCCACTTCCTCTGAAGATTTCCAGCTTCTGTTGAGGCCCCCTCTTCCAATCCTCTCTGTGCTTTCTGGATTTTACATGCTTTTTTCCTCTTACTACCTTTTCCTTTACATGAACAGCAATAAAAACAAAGCAGGGGAGAGGAGAACATTTTCTACTTTCTCAGCTTCATTCTGCCTTACTTATCAACTCTAGCTCCCAAAACTACACTCTCAGTTACTCATATTTCTCTGTTCACTGAACTCCACGACACTTGTGTTTCAACAAGGCAGGTGCGCAGAGATTCAGCACATCCTTGGTTTCAAATTCAGTACAAAAGCAAATCATTAAAATCATATTCTGCTGACATAATGTAGGGAGAAAATGATCAGGAACAGTGCGTGGACAACTTGTGCCTGAGAATGATCAGAAAAAAGGACAGGGTGAGCTTGTGCAAAGTGTTTGCTGACGGAATCCTCTAAAAACTTAACAGGTCTCTACTGCAAATCTGTACATGCTGCAGGTTTTCAGAGCTCTGCACTCAAATCTGAGCCAAGTTTTGTAGGGAGAACAAAGGGCATGAGTGATAAATTCACTTTCAAATATGAAGAATCTGCAACCAAATCAAGAAGGGACTGAGATTCCTACTATTGCAGATTATGAACATTTTAAGTAAAGACAAAAGGAGTCTGAATGCTCTTATCTAAATACCAATTGACATAAAGCAATTAAAAAGAATTGTCTTACTTTGTCAAAGAGTAGCACACAGCCCGTAGGTGCTCATGATCCTTCTGTCTGATGTTGTTATTGACCATGAAATCTAGCTCTTCTCGAGCAGCATTCAGCTGACTTTCTGTAACACTGTAGCTCACTGCCTCCCGAGCACTGTCCTCAATATTATGGGCTTCATCCAAAATGACTACCTGGCCTTTCAGGTTAATTTCCATCTTAAAAAAAAAAAAAAAAAAAAGGTATCTGGTAAAACAGAGTAAAACGTAATAATGAGAAATAGCAACTAATAGGATTCTGTTCAAAAATGGTCTCCATGAGCCCAACAAGTGACTGATTAGCTAAGCTATATGAACAAAGGAAACATTGCTTGAAATACAGAAACATCCATTCAAAAATAAATCAATAAATAATTTAACCCAGGAGTTACTTGTAGATTATATCTGGATACAAATAGGATTTCAGTGACCACTGAACATTACAGTTTTGTTTTTTTAACTTCACTTATTGCAGTGACTATTACAAATATACTTACACTCTCCCTTATCTGTGGATCTAGGAGGTAGTTATAAGGACAAAATACAATATCTGCCCCCACCATGAGTTCTCTGGCTGCAAAGTATGGGCAGGCACGAAGTTTCTTTCCCAGGCTCACTAGATCCTCAATGTCCCAAGCCTGGTATGTGTTATGTGCAGAGTGCAGGGCATAGTGTTCAGTGAGTTTATGAACACCATGATAGTAAAGACAGGACTTGCCCTAAAAGCAAATGAGCACAGAACATTTCAGGTTACAAAAACAACAAAAAACAAGCAAGCTTAAAAGCCTCACAGTTGTTACATAATATGACTTTATTTCCTAAAAACATTTCTACCAGTTACTATTCTTTAGTAGGGGCAATAATGAAAAGCACATCTTGAAGAGATTAACGTGGCCAGATCTGTAGTTCATTCAATAAACAAAGGGCACTTTGCATTTATGTATACAAGAAATTAAATGCTTGCAAAAATAAAGATAGCTACTTTATTCTACACGTTGCAGACAACATTTTCAAAGCCACTTAGAGGCCACAAAAATACAGTGCAGAGGTACCAGTCCTCGATGTGTAACTTCATAATTTAAAGGAAAATATTTTTAATAGGACTGTAGAAATTATAACTGTGCTTACAAATAGGATGAGCAATAGAGGTTATTTCTAGTGTGCATTTTTCAGCATAGAAAACGTTGATACATGGTGCCTGTCAACTAAAATGTAATTTTATCTTAGTTACCAGACGAATTTAACCAACACAGCATGAAGAAATAAAAACAAAACTCAACTACCTTTCACTCTACGTTTATAATCATACGCTCAAAATTACTCACATGCTTTCCTTCCAGTAATTCTACACACAGTTCATTCCTGTTGCTGCTACTACTGGACACCACCGGGTGAATACAGCTGTAATCCCGGCTGGACAGAATCGTCATAGAGACACCGGAATACGCCGTCCTCTGCAACTCCCTGCTAATCTGGGCAATTTGTTTGTGCGTGCGCGTTCCAAAAAATATTTTGGGAATGAACGTCTGATCTCCATTTGCTTTCTTCTTTGTGTTACCAGCATCTTTACGAGTTTCTTTTCCAGAGGAACAGGAACACTCTGTGCAAGGGATGGAAAGCTGTAACCCAAACCGAAAAAAGATTAGCAAAATCCCACTGCAAGATGAACAAGCCAAATATTTTTACGGTCTATTTAGAAACTGCCCCGTGGGATAGATCAAGATATCCTGTTATATCATCACACCGGCCTATCAGCGTTAAGAAATGTTAAAGAACATCACATCCTCTCATGCCTCAAAATCTTAGAATACTTTCTCCTATCACCATATTCAACTTCATCAGAACCCAATCTCAGAGAAAACTGCTGCCCCATGGAGTGCGCACACAGGTAAGACACACAAAGAACGTAAAGGAACTTCTGACATTTAAACTTGGGCAGAAGGATACTACTGTTTCAAAACAAGAAACACCCCGAAACTTAAAGGGAGAAAACTTTGGGATGTGACACCTAAATGGAACTACTGAGAGCACTTTTCCTTAAAGCATGCAAAAGGAATCCAGACAGTTTAATGAAATCTGCAGAAAAAATACCAGACTACCTCACGCAGACTCAATTAGGAACAAATTTGATGTGCTACTACGTGAAAGGCCTTCTAGTAACTATGAAAAAAGACAAAGTGAATAATTCTAAGCAGAGCCCATAAAATATTTGTTAAAAGCATTTCCTTTCTTCTTGAGAAGCACCGCCTTTCTAACGTCTGTCATAACACGAGAGAGTGGAACAACTGTCTCCAAACTGTAACAATTAGAACGAAAAGCAGCACGGAAAACAAGAAACTCATGAGTAACAGTGTCTACTTATACATCTCTCATAAAAATAATGAATTCCTCCAGTGTACCAGGATTTGTATTTGGTTTTCAGCTTGATAGTGCAAGTACCAACATGTAGCTGCCAAAATTTCTCCCTCCCTCTTTAATTGTAATCAGTAAGATTATCCATTATAAACAAATGCTAGCCATGCTGTGTGTTACACCGCAACTGCGGATCAAGCTGCCTTTTAGCCTCCACTCCGAGGCAAAGCAAGTTCACATTACCCTCAGCCCTACTCAGCCTTGTCCACCATTAAATATTACAATACATGATAGGATGCATGTAAATGTAACCCTTCTGGGGCTGTCACTCACTGGGATAAAAGGTTCACTGACGTGCCAAATAAACAGGCCCTCAAAGCAGATACAGTTACACCCGTGCTGGAATTGTTACATTCCCCTCTCAGGTTGCCAGTAACAGCAGATTTCGTTACCCTGTGCTGCCACATTAAATAGCCAGTTCCAAATATCCTGCCTTCAATATTGAATAATTACTTATTCACCGAAAGGATAAAAAGAAGAGTCATGAATGGGGCTCTTGTCAACAGCGAGGCAGGAAACAGCTGACATGTGGTGTATGTTACATACGTGGCAACGCTCAACTCTGCTTGTACTCAACACAGAGAGCTGCAAATTGCACCTTGATATTTCTACTTTGCTCTTTGAAACAGTGAACAGCACGTCAACATGCTGACAATTAATGCATAAGAAGCAGTTTGCCTACTCCATGAATGCATTTGGCTTTTCAACTCAATTCAAATTGATTTGCAGAATTCAAAGATAATAGTTATCGCTGACACTTGGTGGAGTTTAGCATTAGCAAATTTTGCTTATGAAATAAAAGCAATAGAAAAATATTACGACCAATCGAGCAGCCATTTTGTAAAAGTTGTTGTAACAATGGGAAAATGCAGCTCAGAAATATATAGAAATATATATACACACAAAGAGAAATAGACATGCGAGTGTATAAATAATTAAGAAAGTAGAAAACTATTTCACCGTGGCCACTGGCTGTGAGACCAAACCTGTCTTCAGCTGTATGAATCCGGGATAAATTTTTAGAGAGGAAAAACATATAGCCTTCTGCACTACTTCATCAGTGACATCCACTGGCAGATGCTAGAGATCAGATACCAGCTGTATGGACCTGGGGCAATCCAGCTTGTTCTCCTTCTGTCAGCAGGCAGATAAAGCTGCCTATCGCATCAGTATTTATACAGCAAAAATGCCCAAGTCAGATTAATAAAAGAACAATCAAGTCTGCCGACCTGTCCTACGTGTAAAAAGGAGCAAAACAAACACTGAGGCTGTGATCTGTGAAATGCAAAGAGATAAGAGGAGTTCTTCATATCTGCATCTACATTTCCCAGTTACAAAGCCATCTAGATGATAAAACAGTGAACGCTGCTTGTGTGAACTATCACACAAGCACAATCTAGGAAGATATCAGCAGCGACATTACAGAGCTTTTCAACTCCTCCTTTATGGGCCTCGGAAAGCACAGCACCCTGCGGCTGCTGCGGCCCCTTGATTAAGGCACACAAAGCAGCTGTTTATCCTCTGCACTAACCAGCAGGTGAACCCAGTTCAATATTTATCACAGGCTTTCACAGATCACTGCTAACCAAGCAAACGTTTTAATTAAGCTGGAACCTGCTTCAAAGAGCTCATTCAAAACGTCAATCAGCAAGTAAAGGATCAGATACGGTGTCAGGTGAGAGCGTGTAACACAAATCCACAACTTTCTTCATCCCATTGCGGTAAATTAGCCTATTCTGGAGTCCAGACCCTGATTGTAACAGGCTGCCAGTCTCCTGGAATGTGTAACAGAAGTCACTCAAACTCCATTGTGAAGGTTGTAAGCAATATGTTCGACTGCAATAGGCTAGCACATTAAGACAGATTCTTTTCACAGCTGTTTCTTGATACCCCAAGTGTTTGTTACACTACTCTCCATTTACTGTTTACTTTTCCTTTTTTTTCAAACCAGTATAAATGGGGATTCCTCAACCCAGCTGCCCCAGTTTCTCAGACCATGTGCTTTCATGGGAGAAATAAAGAGCAGCTTAAGAGTACGATTTCTCAGCCGAAGCTCCTGGAGGGCTGCCCTCCTCAGCTGGGCACGCAGCAGTGGGCACCTGGCCGTGGGTCCTGCAGGTGCACAGCAGCCCACCCTGCCTCTGCTCAGAGCAGAAGCAGAAACCTGACAAGGAGACAAGGAGCAGGTTTTGCCAAGTTCCTCTGCCATTCAGCAAGTCCCAGGCAACAGCGTTCAGGCGATGCGCACGCCTGGAATTAACAGAAACGACCTGCATAAAAACAAGGGACTTCACTGTCTGTGAACTGATGTACTGTTATGAAAAATGGCCTTATCTTGAAAATAATAAAATACTGATTCACAGCTGATTTTTTAGTAGAGATCAAGTGGCTGTTTTCAATTTTCTTCACTACCTAAAATTCCTTGAACTTGAAAAAAAAGGAAAAAAAAAATAGAAGTTTGCACTGAAGTACCAAAAGCAAATCTGACAATCAAATAAGAGAAGCCTTTTTATTTGAAAATCAACAGCACACTCTGCTGGCCTTTGTATTTCAGAGCGCCAATTGAAGTTCAGGGGCAAAAAGCACTTCATATCCTACTCAAAAATCTATGGAGCTTTCCAAAGCTCATGAAAATCACATCAAAAGACCCAGAGAATTGCTTCCACTCATGATAAGACTCAGCTCCCACTCTCTCAAAGTGATACCAAAGCTTGTGGCTCCTTTTGCCAAAGCAAAGCACACTGGAAAGCAGCTGTTGAAGTGAAAACAAACAGCAATCAAAATAAAGGCTACTCTGAGTCATACAAAGGCCTAAGTCAAAATCATTTCAGAAAACTGCCCCTGACCTAATAATCATGGCATCAGAGCTGTTTCTACGTTACTTACCGTTTTGGGAGAAGTGTTTTTTACACTTTTTTCAGAGTGAACAACCAGCTCCCCATTTTTTCTCTGATTATAAACTTCTACAGCATCAACCAGCTGCACCTCTTTTGAAAAGCAATGACGTTTTCTAACCTGTCGGGGTGAAAAAAAGGTACTGTGATGCAATCTATTGCAGAAATACTGCACTCCATGCTGCAGGCCAGCGAAAACTACATTTGCAAGGATACAGGACATAGTTCTAATAATGTATAATTTGTACTTTTTATATATATTTGTAAGAGCATCCAACTCTAAAATCTCATACTTCTTCAACTTCATATTACGTATCTCCTAATGATAAATATACTTTGTGGATATTGTGCATTTAAATAGGCAAGAAATCATTTAGAACACGGTACTCTTCATAACTTAATGCAACAATGGGCTCTTGTTACAACAAGAATGAACAAAATCCGTCCACCTAAATCACAGCCACGCCAAGGATTCACCTTTCTCTGAAACACCTTTTTCTCTGAAAAGCTGTTTTTGAGGGCTGCACCTGGATAGCCTCACTGCCAAAGAACTGTGCTCACCTGCTGCTCAGTTTCTAAAGGACGAATCCTCTTCCTGTCTACTTGAAAGTCATCGCTCTCGTTTCCACATACAGATGCCCTTTTTTTGGCAGACAATTTTGAAGCTAGGGTATTGTTTTCCTTGCATTCTGTAAAAATTAAAGGGAAATAGTGACAAAAATCATGTTCATTTGTAGAAATGCATAAAGCAAGGGCAACATTTTAAATATATCGTTTATTACAAACATGGTTAAGACACAACATAGGGGGATTTCTACATAACAACATCCATGCAGGACAGAATCACACAGCACTCTGCTACTACAATGATAAAAAAGTCCCTGACTTGAAAGCATGAGACGTGACACCAATGGCAATGCCTTTTAGTGCTAGAACTGATTTCCATCTTCTTCTCTTCAAAATTACCTGCGTCTGTTTGTTGGCCTCCAGTTTTTACAGAGCCCCCTGTTTCATGATTACTGGAACACGCAGCACCATGACTCGCTCCTGCAGCCTCCTCGCTGCTCTTGGATAGGGAATGACAAACACAGCAACACGGTGGGGAGGCTGCTGGCTCCTTTCTGTCCTCCTTTTCACATGATGATTTCAGCAGTGATTTCTCTAAGGAAGATAAAGGACACAGCTGTTTGTCTTCCAGAAAACTTTTTCAGGCTCGCAGACGAGAACTAGACTTTCAGAGCAGTTAAGATGAAAGGCTTCATGTAGGTACCAGTTATAAAAGTCACATCTCCCTACATGCTACACAGCCTGAACAAGCTGTCATCACTCATTCAAGATCTGCTGAGCAAAGAAACTGTAACAACTCACACAACTAAAAAAACCAAACCCCTCTTCCGCAATTCAACCCGCGTCACTGCAAACCACAAGTATTTTCCTTTTAAGTCCAGAAGCCATATCATTCCCATACGATAACAGACAGCTAAACCCACTTGAACGTGAAAGTTATTTTGCTCAGTGCTACTGGCAATTAGGCCATTACTCCTGTGTTTGCCTAATGCCACGCTGCCAAGGAGGCAACACATGTAACCACAGATGGAGCCCTACCAATATCAAATATTTAAGGACTGAAAAGCAACAACAGCAATTCATTCCATCACATTTTGGTAATTAAAAGCTATGCAGACAGACGTTACAAACACTTACCATACAGAGCCTGCTGCCATGATAATGCAGAACAAAGTAATGCCAAGCTTTTGCCACTTCCTGTGGGGCTCTCCAACAAGCAGTGCTGCCTGTTATTTAAGCCCTTAACGATCTTGAAGGAGAACAAGAACAAAACTAGAATTACTAAGGAAAAGAAAATTCTCAGGAAGGTGAACACTTACTGAAACACTAACATTTTGTTTCAAAGGTGTGTTGTATTAAATCATTCTCTCCTTATATATTTGCAGAATTATATAAAATCTAGATTAGAATACACATGTATTACAAGCATTTACAGCATTACAGAACTTTCTTCTTAGCATGAATGTTGACAAATCCAAAAATGCATTTTAACATTCCCCACCTGGGGCCATTATTATTGCACAGCACAAAAAACAGTAAAACAGTAAGGTCCATCATGAGTGAAACTCTCAAGATGCTGGAGAATTAAATATGTTATTGGTGAATGAAATTATTTTTCTACAGGCTGATGGGTACTGAAAGCTGGAAGCTGTTTGCTCAGTGGATGGTTGTACAAATGCTACTTACAGCATTCATCATAGCAAGCTGTGAAGGGTAAGCCTTGCAAGGGAACAAAATCTTCACTCCCCCAATAGTATATTGTGACACGTCAGAAGACATTGCTGCTTTCTCCTGTTTATTTCAGGTTTAACTGCAGTAAAAAACAGAATCAAGTCAATGTTACCAACAAGGAAAGCTCAAAACAACAAATGGCACCAAACCAAGCAGGAAGAGAGCTAAAAGATCTGGACATTGGCACACAGGAATTTATATTTTGTGCCTTCTGTTCTGGCTTACTTGTTACAATGAACAAGTTACTGCCATCTGACGAGTAACTCCAGCAATACAAATAAAACAAAAGATATGGGCACAAAAAGAAAGAAAAACACTATGAATGAAATGCATGCATTATTTTAGAGTCCATTTCTCAAACTGAGTATTTTTGAGATAACAACCCAGATCCCATGGGAAGGAAGGCAGAGGTATTTTAGGGGACTGAAATAACTACTAAAAAGAAAATGAAATAATTCTTTAAAAAAATGAAAATAAAAATCAGCTTTCCAGTCCTTCAGGCTGTTAGCTTGAACTTCAAGATGTTGATCTACAGTGACACAACTGGCCAAGCTTGCAGTGCTTGTTTCATAGCTACAAAAAGGTGAAACTGGGCACTGATGTTAAAAAGGAGATGCTTTAAACCAATACCATCTTTATATTAACAGTTAATCGAGGGTAAATGGGCTGCCACTAACTTTGCTGTTCTACTCGTGTTACCTTGCATTTCCCTCACTCTGAATGATAAAGGAAAGCCTGCTTCATAACATGCTAAAATGCTGAGAGTTTAAGATACTGGAAAATACACATATGGGAGGAAGAAACAAAAAAAACACTTATTCTTAAAAGACATAAATCTATCTTTTTTCGCATGTACAAACCAAGAGAGCAGCCTGATATATGAAATGCATCCCCAACTGAATTTTTAGGAGGAAACAGACATCAGAAAACCAGCAGCACAGGGCACGCCTCCTCACCGTCAGCTCCCGACAGCACAGAGAAGCCCCGCCAGCAGAGGATCGCTGACGGGTTTCTGCGGTCACAGCCCCTCCTCCCAAAACGCAACCGCGACAGTCGAGGGGCTTTTCTCTAAGACACTCGGGGGTCTCCCCAACGATCAGCTCGGAACTGAGTTTATGCGATCTCTGCCAACGAACAGGGGTGGGAAGGACTCCCTGAAGGACCGAGCGGGGCAGAAGGCGGCAGCAGCCGGGAGCTGCGGGTGGAACCGGGCGATTCTACTGCTGAGGGCGGGGGAAGAGCGCCGAGGGAGCGGCTGCAGCCATCCTCCCGAGCGCGTCATCCCCGCTCACGCTGCGCACCTGGGCGTTCCTTTCATCTTCTCTAAGAGGCCCCCAGAAAGCCACCCCGCGGCCTCCTCCGAGCCCGCTCCCCTCAGGGCCGCGCTCCGCCCCGCGGAAAGCGACGAGCGGCTCCGCGCGGCCGCTCACCTGTGGCGACAGCTCTGTCAGCGTCCGACCTTCCCGCCTCCCGCGCGGCCTCGGCACCACCCGCCAATCAGCTGACAGGAAAAGCGCGGAGCCACCAATCAGCAAACCGCATACTAAGCTGCGCCAGCTCCACCGTTAGAACCAATCGTGGAGGACCTTGCTGGTTTCCGTGTTGTGCTCGTTGCTACGCAACCGGGCAACGCTCTCCCTAGGCCGCGCCCCTGCTGATACCAAAAATTCACTCCAAATTAAAAGTTTGTGCAGCTCTGAACCGTTGCACATCCACTTTTTTTTTTTTTTTCCTAAAAATTATTTATTTAAATATCAATACTGCATAGAAAATCGAACATAAGAAAAAAATATATATTTACATACATTACACCGAGATGACAAAAAATATAGCCGGGTGTCACCACATGGTTACACTCAAACAATCCTGGAATGGTGGTGGGAACTCAGCATTAGCCTCCCAGTTAACATCCAGCAGAGGTGAAAGACAGCTATGCAGGACTTCCTCCAGCCACACTAAAAATCAGACTGTTATTTCTGAAATATAAGCTGATTTTAATGGAAGAAAATATTGTACTTAATGAGGGATGCTGAACGCTGTCACTTCAAATCCAGTAAAGATAGGCTGCCAAGCTTAGCAAGTCAAGTACAACATCCAGTTCTGGCACAACAGACCAACAATTTTATCTCTCTGCTGCCTCACACCAGAGCTTGCGCAACCTTCAAGAAAACTGCACCATAAGCCTCTTCTGCAATGCTACAATACATCCATCAAGGCCAAATCCTGCAGCTGTAAATGAAAGATCATGTACACACATGGATTTAGCCTTCTTGTTCTCTGAGCTGGAACTGCTGTGGTCTGGCTGAAATTCGTCACCCTTCTCACTCCTGTGACTTCTGTCACAGTCATCTCCAATACTAATTTCTTATTTAATCTTATCCTGATGACAAGTTATCTCTACGCTTAATCTAACAACATTCTCATCTCTTTTAAACTGAGGTTTAAAAATACTGAACAATCTGTGCTACAGTTCAGTTTGTTCCTACACCAGGAGGTTTTTGCTTGGGTTTTCATTTTTTTAGTTTGTCTCTTTAGTTTAGTTTGAAACCAGATTCAAACTTTTCATGAAGGCTGGCTGATGTTTAAATCTGTTTTGAACTTACAGATCTCGAATTGTCAACAGTTTACAGGCCAGTTCAGCTCAGTTCTGTGACTAATTCACACTGTGACCAATGATTCAAAAGGCAAATAAAAAAGTTAAAGCTTTTTCTTAGTAATCAATGTGATGGTGCAAGTTATTTACATAACTCTTCAAGTGTTCCTTGGAATATTTTATTCCATCTTGCTCTGCAAGGCTCTGAAACAGTCATTCATTTGAGTTCTAGTAAAGCTCTCCAATCTCAGATTTTTCTTACCCATCATTTTGCATTTTGCTCAACAAATGAAGTCCTCACTTCACAGTGTTACAAAACCCATTATGGGTGTGCTGCTGTATCAAATCAGATATAAAGCACATCCAAAAATTCATGCCTACATTCAAACGATCTACCAAGCAAAATAAGTCCTTTTGAAGTATTCTTTTCCTTCAACAAGGTTCAGCCTTAACTGAATCCAATGAATTTAAAACACAGATTTGTGCTTCAATCCACTTTGGCAGCTCTCTCCAAATCCAGATACCATTTGCATTCTCCCTAAACTCCACTTACACTCATGTTAATAATTTCAATTATAGTACTCTCAACACACTGGCACAACTGAACATCAGGGTCCACACTTGTAATGTCCCTTGAACAACTTTTGTAAGGCGAATCTTTACAAAGTCCCAATACTTCATTTGGTCTCTCCTTTAGCTGCTGAAGACCTAAATAAAATTAAGTTAGAAAAACAAAGTGCAAATAAATAAATAGTTACATTATATCTGTAACACCATTAAATTACTTGTGAAATACAAGCTGCCTTACTTACGTGTAATTATTGGGTCAAAGTCTCTTGTCTGTGTAGCAACATCAGAGGCACAAACTTGCCCTATCTGTATCAGCAGAGACATAATATCCTCATATAAAGGAGGGAAGGCTTGACAGAATGACACCAAACAAGGCAGGGTTGGCATAAAAAAGGCATAGCGCTTCGACTGGGTTAAAACTATGGGGAAAAAGGAAATAGTTAAGCAGAAAGGAACTATTACCAGAATCTAGTCAGGAATTGTTTTGTTACCTTTACAGTTACCATTAACTTGTTGGCATTTTGGTACCACTGGACATGACCTAGACAAATCTAACTTGCACAGCAATGCATTCCGGTGTTGCTGGACTGCTCACCTGTGAGTAGGGTTCCCATCACATTGATAGCCAAGCGAGCCACACTGAGAGATTTCGGTAGAGCATATTGAATGCACAAAAACGAAAGTAACTGGATGGCAAATATCTGGGAAGTAGGTAAAAGGCAAGAAAGAAATAAACAGTGAGTTATACAGTGCTTTGCAATTATGATCCTCTCCACATAACTTAGGAGTTAGTAAATATTCTCCATTTCACAACAAGGAAGAGAAGCCTTAAAAATAGTTATTGCAAAATTTTTCTGCTGACTTTAAAAAAACACAACACAGATGTTTAACATTAGTCAAGCATCAGTTAGACTTCCAGAATTGCCCTCACAGACATAATTTGTTCCAACACTTCAATGAGCAACAAAGGAACAAACAATTTACAATGTAATCCTTGTAAAAGCTGTTAAATATCCCATGTGTTCTAGCTTAAATTTCAGCTGAATGCCATCTCACGAGCAGTATTTAAAAGGGATTAAATAAACGCAAACAAGAAATTTGTTTAACACAGAAAACAGAAGAATCTTTAGCTCCCAACTATCCAGCTACCTAGGACTAGAGAAATTTGTCATCTCCTATGTTGCAGTATACCAAATCAACATTTATCATTGCTTTAAGAACTACTAATTAACAATTTTTTGCCCTTGTTTTTCACAACCATCACAAGAAGGCCTTTCAAAAATCAAATTTCTGACTCTTCCTTTGCTAAGCTTCAATTATGTAATAATATTCCTTCGGGAAAAAAAAAGACTTGGTGGTCAAACCTTTCACAAGGAAAGATAAATTTTGATCCTCAGGCTGCTCCATCTGTTCTGCAGAGCATCTCTGCAAAAAAAAGCTTTTCAAAATCTGAACACTCGTGCAAGTTCCTCTAGCGATCAAGTATCAGCTGAAAAGCTAAGTAGGCAAAACTTCTGCCAACTGATAGATACACAATATAAAAAACGAAAGCTGTTACTTAAAGAGCTTTTATTCCCGTTCTTAGAGGTGAAGTAACACTGAAATTCAGGAGCATCTGCAAAACAAATGTACAGAGCTACGTTGGAGGAGTCCTGGATTTGGTGGCAGAGCCTTTAATTCAAGCTAAAAATGCTACAGATACTACCTTAATATACTGGGCAGGTTAGAGCAAGGCTTTTTTTTAAGGGTTCTTTTTCTTTTCTCCCCTAAGACTGTAACATGGTTAATTACTTACAGTGATTCTCTGACTAGATGACTGCACAGTACCTGTTTTTCAAGTTCAGGCTGGGCAATGAGCTCAGGTATGAAATCCAAACAGATGTGCATCGATGGAATCCCTGCCACTGTCAGGGCCAGCAGTTCACATGGATAACCCTGCCACGTTAAGAAAACAGACACACCAAAGGTGTTTTAAAAATTGCTTCACTAATGTTTTTTTCTAAACATACTTTCAACTTTCCTTCACTCAGAAAGACAAGCAACAGGCCTGCACCTCTAAGGCAACTTGAGGGAGGCTTGGTGAATCTGATCCACAGGACTCCAACATTTAGTGTTTGCCCTAACTTGCTTATTTCACAACAGAACCATCAGGACTTTTCCAGCCTCTTAATCAATTCCAGGTCAAAGCAAATTAGCTGCTTTTAACGAGACTGCCATCTGGCAATGTACAATTTAACACACACCAAAAACCAGATTTACATTAAAAAATTGCTAAGCTTCCCAGGCTTCTTTTTTTGAAGGCCTACAGTTGCCCTGACAGGGGCATTCTTTAGCCTTCGACTCTGAGGAGATTAAGTGTGCCCTAACAAAAATGAAAGGTAAGAGGTTTACATCTGAAACCACATGACGGCTTTTGAATAATGGATATTTGAATTTCAGATCACTGCCAGAAAAAAGGAAACCCCCCGCAATATGTGGAACAAGTCATTAAAAGATGTGCATGCCAGTTTTCTTTGGCCTAGAACGGACACGCTATTTCAGTATATAATAGGGCAAAGGCACAATCAAAGCTTGTGTTTAATGATGAGGAACAGACATGGCTTTGCTGCTCCCTCTCAGCTACAACAGTGAGCAAAAGCTCTGAAATTTGGAGGGAATGTGGTTACTACAAATGTGGGAGGACGGAAAGAAGAGTGTTTTTGTAATTTGTAAGGAACACAACAATAGCACCCAAAATCCTCTGAACACTTTGTTTGGCTCTTTCCTAGCCAGAAAAAAACCCCACCAACATAAAAGAACTAAAATAATGCAAACCAGACCTGGAAATGAACTAGCTTTACTATGTTGGGGTCAGCTATATACATCTGATGCAGCAGACAGCAGATCAGACACTGGACCTCTCGAAGGTTACACAGCAAGCTATCTTCCTCTTCCTCTAGATCTGAACTCTTAGGACCTGTGGTATTCTGAACACTCTTTAGCAAACTGTAGGTACTGCTGCTCTGGGTTTTCTCCTCTTCTGTTGGTAAGCAGATCTCTAGAAGAATCTGCACGGCAGCGCTGTCCTGTGAAGAAAAGCAGTGGGAGAACATAAATAACAGAGAAACAAACAAGGCACAAAACAAAATACAAAGTAACGGCAATTGGAGAAACTCAAGGCAATTAGATTGCTGTAATTTCTGGCTAGTGAACTCTTTTTTTTTTATGGAAAAACAAAAACAAAAAGCAAGAAACAACAGATCAGGAAATATAAATCCCAGAAAACATTAAAATGTTACCTGAACAAATGCTCAAATCCAGTACATTAACATAACTATAGATTAGAGCAGCCATTTCATGGGAGTCAAGTATGATTTCAAAATGTATCTTCGACAGACCATTAAGGCACCCAGATCAAACAGAATATGCATATGCCATGCAATTCACAGTATTCAGAGGAGACTACTCATTTAAATATAAAGACTTTTATTAACTGAAAAATCATTCTCTAAGGGACAACTTTGTATGTGACATGCTTCCAGACAAAGGTAAGGAAAGAATGCCAGTGAAACACAGTTAATCAAGAACTCCCCAGAAAGTATTTAACAATCTGAACACAGAGACTGCTTTTTCTTTTTCACCGAAAAAGAAAGTCAACTAAAACAAAGCAAATAATCTATTAGGTCCCCTGTCTTTCCTTCTTTTATTTTCTATTTCTGTATTTCTGTTACATCATTTTCTTTCTTCATGACATTAATTAACCATTTTCCCTCTTTACCTGAGCAGCAAGCAATGCATTTTTCAATTCTTCCCTTGTAACTTCTGGGGTTTCTGGACCCATAGCATTGTTCTGGGATGGCCTAATGTCCTGCTCTGCTGTTTCTTTCAGGTGAGCATTGAGGTAAGCTTTTGAAGCAAGAAGATATCCATTCAACATGTGCAAAGTTATATCCATCAGAGGAGGGCTCCTGGTACGGGAACAGATCAAATGGAGCCTTTTCAGTAGGCAGAACAGTAAGACAGTAAAAACAAACTGAAAGAACTCAAAGATGCACTTGGCTGTACTCTGAATCATACTAAAGCTACTTTCCCTATCAGCACAGAATACTGAAGGTTATAAGCCCTTCTGCTGCCCTGCTGTTTATTCCTGCTTCTGTCATGCATATGCTCTGCAAAAACAAGGGACTACTGAAGACAATAATGCTTGATAAAGAGACGAAACTAGAACAGAATCTGCAGTAGTGATTTAAGAATCAATGCTCTGAATGATGGAGAAAAAACAAGCTCCACAAAACTGCTCCCACAATACAAAGACGACAGCTTTCAAATCACACTGTCTTACAGATCTCTCTCGATATTGGAAATGTGAGATTTTCATCCTAGGCTGAAGGGACGTACATGTAAATATTTCACCTATGGGTTGATCTTAAAGATGTCTCCAACAGAAAAGTCCAGCAGAGTTGTAGCTGAATGAAAATTGGATTAACAGTTCAATTGCTGAAAGGCTAGGAGGTACAGATAGACACAAACAAGAACACATCCAGATGACTGCCACTCATTTATTACTAACAGCAGGGTAGTAAAAAAAAAAAAAAAAAAGAGTAAAAAGGGAAAAATTAAACCACAATTGACAGAAGACATAAAAAAGCTCACAAAAAGGAAAAAAGCTGGAGGCTGAAGTACTCCTAAAAAGATTAACCATATCCTTTTTAGAACAACAAATGCAATTTTCATCAGTACTGTGAAAAAATGAAGTTATAATGTACAAATTCTGACTTAAATTTTTTTGCCTTATTTATTTCAGGTTCTCCTTACAAGCTGCTTTGTTGCTATCAGTTATGATAATTTCCACTACTAACATTCTCAACTAGTTCTTCTGCATCAGAGCCATAACTCAGCTTTACACATCCTCCTCTGTCACCATGACAGCTCCTGGAACACATTTCTGAGTGCTGCTAAATGAGTTACTTGAGAAATGAGGCAAATCTACCTTTGTTACATGCACCAAACACCCTCTGGCAGAAACCATCACCCACAAAGATGCAGTATCGACAGGCCCATGAAGGGTGGTAGAAGACAGCTGTGAGGAGGCAGGATGCTGCAGTGACAACCCTCCCCACCATGTGGCAGCAGCCATTTTAAGCATATTGCAAGATCTAGAACAAATTCACACAGACGTATCTAAAATGGATGACTTATGTTTTAACCCAGAGTTTACAAAACAGAGCTATGTGTAAGACTATTTAACAAGGCATTCAGCTGGACAGTCAGACATGCCCAAGCAGCACGCATGGTTCACTCCTCAGACCAACAAGTTCAGCACAAACAAAAAGGTGCCCTCAAAGCTGGAACTTAACAGCTCACGTGACAAGTTTGAAAATATGTTGTGAAGTACTGAAAGTTGTTGGGTTTTCTTTATCAGACACCTCGGGGCATAAAAACTAACGGGGATGCTTACCTATGAACTCTCTGATCACACCTCAGCACGATCAAAGGATCAATCATCAGATCATTCTGAGTGTACTTCTGCTGTCGGACCATCTTCACCGAAGGCTGCAGAGCATTAACAGTCATCACCCACAACCTAAAATGAAATTATTTTTAAGATATATATTTTTTTAATACAGAGATAGCAAAAGGCTCACATAAGCATCCGAGTACTCACCGCAGTCAGCTGTATTTTTCTGCTCCCTGACAGGCCTACAAAAACCCACACTGCATTTGCAGATGTTAAAGCTAATCATGATACAGTTAACTTACATTCACACCAGAAACACAGCACTCTGTTTTCACTGCAGTCGTGTATCCACTTCCTCAAAAAAGGGCCCTTCTTACCAGAGTCAGGTCCTACTTCAGAAAACAATCTTCCTATACTATAAGAAAACGAGAGACTTCCTTCTCCTGAAAACAGGAACTATCTTCCTCTTCTATATAAACAGTTAAACATTTTAACAAAGCAAAAAGGAATGCAACTCCAACACATCATATTCAGTCATGATCTACACTTCCTCAGACAAAGGAATTAAGTTATTACTTACAGAACAGAAAGTGGCATTCCACCTCTAACTGCACTAACAGCACCTCAATCCTACCTTCTTGGCATCACAGTGTTAAGAACCATCCACAGTTTGTTGACAGTCTGAAGAATCCTCCGTGGGACTCCAGCATTTAGCAAGCAATTCATATTTGATGTCAATACTTCTGCATATGGGATCAATTCACCAGCCGAGAGAAGTGTTAAGTGTTCTAAAATCTGCATCAGCTGGGTATGATTTCCAGGCAGCATGGAAAATGCTATAAAAGAAAGACAATGGGAGCTTGGTGAAACTGCACTTCTAACATCCTCTCTGATTTTGCGACCTGAAGACCCACACATTAACAAGGCTGCTGCAGAACGTCCTCATTACACAAATGCAGTATTACGTTCACATGAACCGAATGACGGCAATTTCAAAACCCCCCGCATTCTACCAATTTGAAAAGAGCACTGCACAGGATAGCTGTTACCTTCCTGGAGCTGTTTGGGAGAATGGTTCTTCGCAATGGTTGTGAGGAGCATCCTCCTCAGCAGGGCGTCAGTGCCCGTGATCTGCTCCTCGCAGATCCAGTCTTCCACAATGCACAGGTGTGGATAGTTAGTTGCAAGAAGGCGTAGCAGTGCAGAATGCAAACCTGTAAGAGTATTAGGCAAGTACACACCTGTGATTAAACAGCTACATCACGCACCTGAACATAATCCTGTCTATTATTTTAACAAGAGACCTTAACAGACACCGCTGAACATTTCTATGAGCTTTACATATTTACTGCCTGAAGTTCTACCTCCAACAGAAAGGGAAAGTTCTATTTTGGAGACATGAGAGGACCCTACAGTAACACTTAAGCTCAGCCTGAATGAAAACTTCATCCTGAGGTCATTTCTACTTTAAAAACTAGTTCATTACTCTTTAAATTTCCCTCTCATCTCACTAGTTACTACTGACGTTTCAAAAGAAGCAGAAAGGCAAGCACACTATGAAACAGACAACAGCAGCAGAGCTGGAAACAAGCTTAGCTTTCCATCCTGATGCACATTAGGCTTTCACAGACAGCTGTACCTCCCAGTTCCTGCTGTAGCCCCTGTGCCTGCCGGATGAGGTACTTGATGGGAATCTGATCCATTAATGCTGAAGAGTAAGACTTGGGTTTTCTTTGCATGGCAGCTATAAAAGAAGAGGAAAAACAGCCACATGTAGCAGTTGCAAGACAGCATTTAATACAAAAATCTAAACCTATTCACAAATACCCAGTATCTTTGTGTTTGCCAGAAGTGCTTCTTCATATGACAGGACATAGTAGAGGACAAGCAGTTGCGTTGTGATGCTGTACCGCTGAGCAGGACGAGCGTTTTCTCCCTGTACAGAAAACCACATATAAAGGTCATATCACAACCCCAATAACAGGGAACAAAAATTTGAATTTACCTACAAATACGAAGGAGGATAAGGCAGCAAACCTTGCATAAGACTGTCAAGCCATATGAGGTCTAAGCTGAAAGCTGTAGGGAATTTTGTTTTTTAAATTATCTTCGAACATAAAATGTACTTTTGATTTCTTGGAGCCCCAGGATCCCAGCACAAATCAATGCTTGCCACTCATTGTACACGTATCCACGTGACCAATACTTCTATCAAAAAGGTGTTTCTTACAAGAACAGCTAGAATGCTTCAGTTAATTTATATTTTTGACCTAAGAAGGCCAATAATAGAAACCTTAGATAAACACTACTCCTTTTCAATCCATTTTACTGCTAGAAAGAGTTCATGACTTTTCAGTGTTTTAGTTTCTATTCTGAACAGCACAAACTGATCGCTTCCAAAGGAACAGCATGAAAGAGTGACAAACAGCAATCCTCCTAGAGCATGGGCAGCATGAACAAGATGCACTTCTGTACTAACCATCACTGCAGGGCAAAACAATTGACCACGTAGGGATTAAAGACAAAAATACAACTTTCACCATGTAAAACAAGCATACATACAATGTACTGAACCACACCCATACTGACTAAAAAAATAAAGAGTTTACCCCAGTGAGCCCTTGAAAAACATTCAGTATCTCCTGTTCTGTGACAGGCTGGTTTGTGGCTTCTGGGTTGGATTTTGATGCAGGAGTCAGAATGGAGTTAATGTAGACATCAATAAGAGGAAGCAGCTGAGGGTGGAGCGGAGTGGTGGTTTCACAGAGCTGCCGGTAAATCCAGTCCTGGAAAAAAAAACCAACCATGCCACTATGCTTCATTCCAGAGCTGAAAAGAACCACGTTTTTTGTTGGTAAGGGGCTGTAATAATCACAAATAACACTGGTCATATTTTAATTTTTTTAGGCAATTCTTATTGGAAAAGCCAAACTTGAGAACAGAAATGAAATGAAGGTCATACCTTAATGGATACTTTGTGCTTGGTGAATGATCGGCTCCTTAACAGCTGGTAAATGCAGTGAATGGGCAGAAACCCAGTAATGTTGGCACTGAGGCTGCCTGTAACGGGCACACGGACTGCATGGGCTGTGACAACCTAAGAGGAAGTTACAAATGTCATGAACAATAACACAGCTATTCACCGTGTCACAAAGCAGCTCAACGCGACGAAGCTGCAGAGCTGCACCCTGTTGGACACTGACTCATTTGTGATTGTTTGGAAACTAATGGATGTTTTTGTGTGGTTTAACACAGTACATACGGGATGTAAAACTGCAGCACAAATACACTGAAGAACAATTTCCCACTACTACATTATTTATGTAATTGCATCAACGTGCAAAAGAAAAGGCCAAAGTTTTTCAATCCCGGGAGGGCATGAATTCTTGTAGGTCAAACTTAAGTGACTGAAGAAAAACAAACAAAAAAAACCATAAAAAGGCTACAACTTAAAATACCTGTTCAGTGAAAATCTCCTGTGTGAAGATTGTCTTCATTCTGCTCAGAGAGCTGGGCTTTATAACAATCTGAAACACAGAACGAAGCACCTATGATGCTAAGTTCTAGCTTTAGCACTCCACAGACAGATATTTCTTAAAAGTACTTAAAATAAAACCTTAGCAGCTCAGTTTGGAAATCAATTCAACCAGTCTTCTTAAAAATATCTTTTCTTGCAAATGATTTCTACAAGTCCACTCAATAACTTGAAACTTGATGGTATCTTTTATCATAATGTTCCTCTTCCAATTTTACACACAGGGCAACGTTTTCTAGATGAGCTTAGATACTCTCTTCTTCAGTATACATCTACTGAGGTACATCAGCAAAACTGAAGCTTTTGTACAAAAGCAAAGTAAACATAAGAGTTTAAAAACACAGGAAAAAAAGCTCATTTTAACCGAGAGGTAGGTGTCAGAAACAGTCTGGGGTTTACCTTCATTCCCAGCGTGGAGCAGACCAAATCAATGATAGCACTGAGCTGATTGCTGTGGAAATACATGGCTACCAAGAGAAGCATCTCTCCGAAGGAAGCAGACACACCAGAAATGCTACAGCAGCAAAGAGGAAGAGTTAATTTCCAATGGAAATAAAACTGAGATCACTGGAATCATTAAAAACAAAAGCAGCCTCCTCTCACCTTTCAAAGTAAGCCTCTTCCTTTATCATCCAGCTAAGCCACATCACCATGAGCTGCTCCTGTTCTGGTGTACTGCACAAAGAAATCACATAACAGATTATTTGCCGCAGATTACAGCTGGTTTTACTACCCATTATAGCAGAAAGAAAAAATAATTTAAAAATGCATTAACTGGGGAAGTACCTGACAAGAGTGGAGAAGGCCAGGAGCATGCAAAAGGACAGAGACACAAAGCGAACACCAGCGGGGGTCGCGGGCGGCCGGCTGGTCATCAGCTGCAGCAGCTGCTCAGCTTCTTCATCTGTTGGTCTGAACAGGGAGAAAAAACAGAACCATTGAGGATTTCACAGTGACTTCCATCTCATCACAAGGTTAAACATGAAGTTTTCACTATTATTCAATCTGTTTAACAGGTTACTATCAATATATGAGTATTAAAATTCAACGGCGCTTCTCTTGAACTTAAGAGTCACGACACAAATTCAAAGTTCATCTGCTGTGTGTTGCTACAGCTTTCTGTTCTACTCTGCTCCAAATGCTTAGGCTTCTTTTAATGAGTCTGTAGAACTGATGTTGCAGCTTTAAACAGAGCAGCGCATTTCCCACATTAATATTTTAGATTAAATAAAACATCAGTGAAGTTCATACATGGATCTTCATCATTAGAAGGAAAAACTTTTCTGGTAAGAAAAGTACCAGAAAGTAAAAAGCACACAACGTCTCTGAAGGCCTTCAGCATTAAATAATAGTCACTCTCAGCACTCATTCACATTTCCATCAGCTCAGGCAATCCTGAGCACATGAGAAGTGCCTCCTTCAGTACTCAAACAGTCTGATTCTACCAAGAAGGGTTTAAGGATATTACGATACAGAGACATTAGCAGTGCCCAAAGCTCTCCTCCTCCGTTTCAATGAGCAGACAGTGAGTAAAAGCACAGCTCATTACTTCAGCCCAGCAATTCCCATCAAAGCGCAGTAGAGCCGAAGCAGCGCGCTGGCTTTCACAACGTGCTCCTCCTTCAGTCCAGAATACACAGAGACATTTGGCTCCGTATCAACATCTGCTTCCTCAACAATGTGTGTGCTGCGAACCGTGGGAAGGATTCCCATGAGCTCCAGGAGCAGCTGTCTCCTCATTTGCCAAAGCACAGAACTGATATTATCTCTTTTTCTCTGTGAGGGAAGTTAAAAAATGAGAACAATATAAAACTCATCAGATGTTGTATAAGAGAAGAGCTTCTGCAATGATGAACTCGAGAAAAAAATAAAATGAAATGAATGAGAGCAGGGAAAGGAGGGTTTTTTTAAATAAAAGCTCAGTACTGGGGGAACAGGCAAGACATGACCGTCTCACAATGCTTTATTTCAAAATAAACACATACAGCTGCCAGTTGGGATTCAACTTCTTATTGTGAACACTGAGCGTGAACAGTAATCACTGACACCTCACCATTCACTCGTTTCATGGCCTGTTTGCTTATGTACCTAAAAATCTCTTAGAAGCACAACTGAAGAGCTGCCTTCAGCAACTCTAATTACAGACCTGAAGATCCCTTACCAGCAAACTGCCTCGTGAAGAGAGAGGACAGATGTGCATTCAGAAAAACACGGATGCCCACGAGCGGAGGATTTACAGCAAGAACTACTTTCTAAAAGCAGTTCATTCAACGACTGCCTTACCTGCTGGCCATTTCGGATGAAAGTTCCAAACCAAGTTCGAACTTTTGCATTCGTTCCAAGCAGCAAACCACTCACAAAACACACCAGGTCGCTCACTCCATCATCCGAAGATTCATTTTTGGTGTGATCCAATGTCAAAGCCACACCGAGACCTGGTAGGTGGCACTCTTCCACCTAGACGAAAGGTCCACACTAATCACCTTCTTCTTGTCAACGTTCCAGTAAGGACCACAAGAAGTCTCACATCTCGTCTCACAAGAGATGTGTGTCAGACTCACCACCATGCCTCGGACCCTCAGAGCTTGGGAAGGGTTCATCTTACAGAGGTGACGCAGCGCTTCTGTTCTGCGACGGCCTCCAACGCTTTCCTCATCTTGCCTTTCCCCGTTCTTAATCAAACCCCTACAGACTGAACAACAACCAGGAGGTGAAATTTAATCTCATCTTTCCAATAGAAAGCCACAAACACACAGAGCCAAAATGTTCTGCTGAGCTCACTATGATCTATTAGCTGGATTACACCAAGAAGCAGCGATCAACACTGAGAAGGAAGAACAAGGAAACGGTCTTTCCTTTCTTCTCTAAGAAATCACAGGATGTTCACAGATTTATGCATCACCCAATTACTGCTTACACTCTGCCTAATGCCAGCTGTGCAGCACTGGAGAATGAAATTTTGTTGTGTGGTAATAGATTCTGTGCAGGCATCGTCCTGCAAATGTTTCATCTCATAGTATGGCTCAATCTGAGGGGCAGGTACTGATAGCAAGGCCACACCAGGTTCATAATCCCAGCAGCAGCAGGGATTGGACTGTTAGAAGCAGCCTTAAGAAAGGTGGCCTACAAATAAGAATGCTCACACAGTGATAACTACAATTACGCTGATAAAAGGGGGGTGGACGTACTGAGAAGGAAAGATCTACCAGCATCCCAGTTCTAATATCTACAATAAATAATTTAGCCCAGAATCAACGTTATTACAAATCTCCAGAACAAGTAAGCTAGACAAGAAAGAACCTTAGCTCACCCTCATTAAAGCTATCAGGAACATTTGCCACCAGCAGGCAGAGGAACCAGGCTCCATTTTTAACGTGCAGCAGTGCTTCAGCTACATCAACTATAGGCAACAGCGATGGCAGCTCTGGACAAAAAGAGTTTTCACAGTTAGAGCGTTTCACTATAAAACAAATAAAAATATGCTGAGATGCATGAATGAAAAAAATGCATCAATCCGTGGTTTGCTCCTCTTTCAAAGAGGTGAAGAGCCCAGATGAACGTTCAATCAGCCACAGCAGCTCAAGAAGTTATTTTTTTATTTATTTGTAAAAAGTTATGAATTCAAAAGCAAAGCAATATTAATGAACACAGCACGACAGAGCACCATACCTGCTTGCAGAATGCAGAGAACGTCTGCTGCCTCCTCCAGATAGACAGGGCTCTCAAAGAGCTCGGAAGATTTGAGAAAAAACTCCCCGTTCGATTCCGACACCTACGAGGCAAATTCCCATCAGCACACAGGATGAAGAAGTTTGTCTAATCAGACTTTCATGGCATTGAATTCAACAGATACAACATACTAAAATTACCAAAAATGTACAGTTCTAATCACAGAATAGTCAAGATGAATGTTTAGAATAACTAATATTTACTGGCAGAAGTACTCCAATAAAACCAGCATTATTGTTTCTTTCCAGAAGAAAAACAGCTCAGTGAGAGCTCCAGAAATACAGTAAGTTTTCACAGGGAAAACAAAACGCAGGCAGAAAGAACAAGAGAAATGCATTGGCCAATACCACGCTGCAGCAAGACTGAAGAATAAGACAGAAACAAAAGGCATGATTTCATTTTCAGATATGGTTTCTGCACTGAAGCCTCACAAAATCACGTTATATTTGAATGAAGCACATTATGAGCCATACTGAGTCTCTATCATATTAGAGAAGATTATCCTCATTCATTCTGAGCAGGAAAGGTTTCCTCCAGGGCGCTGGGTTCACACAGAGTTGAACCACAGGCTGGTGCTCATTAAGACTGAATCTTTAAACCTTGATGAAGCAGACCAGAACCGGACACACGCTGACACAACAGCAGCAGAAGCAGGCAGTAAGTCAGCCCACCTTGTTCATGATGGCCAGCAGCTCGCTGAGCACCAGGCGGAGCCGGCGGGGCGAATCGCTGTGCTCAAACTCCAGCGTCAGCCCGTGCTGCAGCTGTGACACCAGGATGCTCTCCCCGCTGCCTCCTCCCAGCTTGTGCCTGCCACACAACGAAAACACAGCGATGCCATTTCATGCAAATTCCAGCCATTTCAGCAGGGATTTTTTCTATCACGCTTAAAGTTGATAGAAAAGAGCATCGGAACTGTGCAGTATTATGAAGTCAACTCCGTATTAAATCTATTCAGGCATTAAAAGAACGGACTCGGAGAACAGAGGCACCATCTCAAAGGCCTCCACTCCCCAGCTGCACAATGGAAGCGCTGCCCCTCGGTTTCTCCTCAGCACCGCGCACTGCCAGGTCACATACAGCCATTTTCGACAAACTGAATCAATAAAACGATCAAATTAACATAAAACCGCGGGGAAAGCGGCCTCGATCAGACCGCCACAGAACCCGGGCGTTACCGGAGCTGCTGCTCTTTGCTGGCGTCCTGCTCCAGCGCGTGGAAGTCGACGGACAGCAGAGCAACGATGGAGTTGACGGCCTCCACGCCCGAGAGGAGCCGCAGGATGAGCTTCTTGTCCTGGGCCCAGCTCTGGCTCTGGTCCGCGGGAGCGCAGAGAGCCATGCGCACCAGGCAGGGCAGCAGCAGACGCAGCTCGGGGTCGCTGAGCGCGGCCAGGCGCACCACGTCCACCTTCTGCATCGCCTCGAAGGCGTACGGACTGACGAACTGCAGCCCCGAACACTCCGCCATGGCGGCCGCAGGGCCGCGGCCCCGTCCCACAGCCGCACCACGCTCGCTTCCGGCGCGTGGTGATGACGTCACGGCCGGAAGCGGGGCGGGCTGGGCGCTGGAGGTAGGCCTCGGCGCGGCCCTGCCACCACCCGCCAAGGAGGAGAGACCGCGTTCCAGCCCCCGTGAATTATTTATTCCTCTGAAATTCTTTCCTGTTTTTAAAAAGTATCAACCTTCTTCCCCCGCCCCCCCCCAGTTTCCACGATCCCATTCCGTACAACTCAGTGTTTACAGCATCGGGCAGCGACAGCAGCCGTTCCTCCATCGCTTGTAGCGATAAACAGGAGTTGGGCCGTTCAACAGCACAGCTGTGAGCGTTGTAAACAAAAGGAAGTCAAACCTCCCCGAGAAGCGACCCAGCGCCGCACCCCCAGCCCACAACGGCTCCACAGGAGCCCGCAGCCCCTCCTGCTGTAAATTCAAAGTGCACCCCGTAACCAGCAATGATTAAAAACCAACAGCCCCTGAAGGATGAAACACAGTGCTGGGTCCTCCAGTCAGGAAGAAGCCCTCAGCTGGGGCTGGCACTGAGCTGACAGCAATCCCACCCAGCCCAGCTCCCAGCAGTGCTGTGCAGCAAAGCAGAGGGGGAAACCCAAACATTTCACTCTTGTTGATAGCTTTAAAATAACGCTGCATCGTCCTGTGGTGGGACTAAGTGTTAATAAAGACAGGGGCCGTCTTCATAGCAACACGTGAAGTTAGAATTACCACTGGAGGTAAATATAGAAATACAGTGACTTGTGCCATATTGACAGCTAAGGAGGAAGATAGCTGAGGATTTAAATATAAATTCATTTTTAATTATTTTAGGAAACGTCAGGAAGATCTACATGTGAGAGCTACTTTAAAACAAAAGCATTACTGACAAGTAGGAGTGGGGGCCTGCTGGTCTGCATTGTGGGCTCAGAAGGGACCCAAATAGCAACAAGGCAGAAGTTACTATGTCACTTGATTCCTGCAGAGCTCGACTGAAATACGTATTTTTAATTGGAATGGAAGGATCTCAGATTCCTCTTTGTTGGACACACAGGAGGAGTAGATGTAGAAATTCCCCTCAACAGAGCTCTGCCAGAACAACATGTTTTCACAAGACCACTTTGAGAAGCCAGGGCTGAGGTTTTCAAATATTTAAGATTGCACTTGCTAAAGAACCCGAGTTATTGGCTCGTGACAGTTTTATTTATAAATCTGCAATTATGTGCACTTAAAATAGTGGAAAGAGAGTAGCTAATGAAAAGGTTTGCTCAGTGTAGCAGTTAGCTGCACAGTGTTGGCAATTCTGATATGCACACCTCCAGCTGTGACTATCGCTTCAGAAATGGCCCTCAGTTTTTTTAGTAGTCGCAGTATTAATTTAATTATCATTTACTTTAACTGCACTGGAGATGGGAGGGGAGCACATGGGAAACTGGCAGCTTTCACAACTGGAGAGCTTGGCAGGGAGGGTTACGGTCCGGGTAACAGAACTGAGTTGTATCACTGTTTAGGCAGCTGATTCACTTACCTGTATGAACAACACAAAAAGCCACACCAATCCCAGCCCTTGCAACTTGGCTAGCTGAGCAAGGGTTAAAAAAGGCCACTTAAGCAACAAAACTTAAAAAAAAAAAAAAAAAAAAAAAAAAAAAAATTAGGACATGTACTTTGAAGATTCGGTTTTAGGAGCAGTTCTCCACTTCAAAAATCTCAACCAAATGAGGGGAAAAACCCTCTGTAAGACAAAAACTGGTGCTGCTTCATCAAGAGGAATGAATGGACAGACCCAGTTAGTAACTACGTATCAAAAGATGCTAACTGCTGATTGCACTCAAATTACTTGGAAGAAATGACTGAAAGTTTTCATCAATTGTACAACTTCTTTATACAAAACAAAAGAGGCGCTAATAATGTATATACATAATTCAAGGAGACATTATAAGAAAAAAAATTCTCAGGCAGGTATTTTGCATTTACAAAACCATAATTTTCATTAACATAGTACGTTTTGTAAATACAAGTGATTCTTCCTTGTAGAGGATTAACAGTGGGTGCAAAAGTGGATCTTAACTTGCTCCTGTACAGGTTTAACCAGCTCGACGGACGGCGTTAAGACCCAGGACATGATTACAGCAACAGACTCACGTGAGCGCTGCAGGAGTTGAGCTTTCAATCTGGCAGTCAGAAGATGAGGAACCAAAGAAAAGCAGATGCAGTTGCTCTTCAGCACCCGTAGGGGCTATTTTAGAGCACCATCAGACATTTGGTGTCTGCTAGGACGAAGAAATGGTGAAGGAGGAGAGGTTTACCAAAGCCTTGTGATTTGTCAGGCCCTTCCTCAGGGAGGGCTGAGCCTCATTAGCGCACACACCCCAGTCTGAAAAGGGGACGTGGGGAAGGCCATACACTGAGACTTGGAACCTTCACCACAGTAACAAAAATACATGAAAAAGGAAAGCATTTGGGGCATTTTGTTGTTGTTTCAGGTTTTTGGGGATTGGGATTTATTTTTTCTTTTAGTTTCCCCCTTCCCTCCCCCCCCCCCCAACTAAGGGAATAAAATCTGAATACCAGAATTCACCGAGAATCTATTTACATCACGTTTTAGTTAAACACACACCAATCTTAAAGTCAAGATTGACTGTTTTTGCATTTGTAAAATGGCTAGAGCTGGGCTAAATTTCAGCCTCACCGGAGACTTTGGGTAAGATTTGCGTTCCGTGCCTTCTGCTTTAGGTTTGTGTTTCATCACAAACAGGAGGAAATAATGCTCAGCACAGTGCCAAGAATATCTAGCAACAACAATGCACAGCAGATATTCTTGCAATAATTAAACTAGGATACTGGAAATAGATCTGAGAATCTAGCCACAGCCCTGAACCATAACACAAAGTTCAGGTGAAGAGTTTATTCGTTTTATTCTCACTACAAGTTAAACCACCTACAATATCACTGATATATTGCCATTGTTACTCTGTAAAGGTGTGATATAAAATGCTGTAAGACCCGGTACCTTTTCAATTTATATAAACACAGTGAACTTCATTACTGTACATGTACTCTGCAACTACAGCTTAGCTGTAAATCCCCCACACACAATGGTATGGACATTAACCCCTCTATACCCATTAAACTGTACATCAAGACAATACAAATTTACTGTCCCCGCCCACCCCTTACAAAAAAATAATACTCTAAAAGCAACCTACTGCAACTTTTAATTAAGACGATTACATATATTTTAGACCAATTGCTTTAAAGCAAGAAGGCAGTATAAACCTTCTAGGAAAATTTTTATAAAAGAGGTTAAGAAATATAAGACAATTTATACATTTAAAAACTTACAATAAATAAGAGATGCAGGCATTTTTGAATACTAGGTACTATAATCCAATACAAGAACATCTTGATGTTCTGAAGCCATAGGGTGAAACTCATTGTTCCTCACGTTTCTTCTCATCTCCATGCTTTTAATATTCATTAACCGTGACTGGGTACTATGGCTCATTACTCTTCACAAATACTGTGACTGGGGAAAAATGGTTAATTTTGCTACTAAAAAATGTTATAATACACTTTCTGATCATCATTCTAAAGCGTCCCCCATAGTCAATGACTCAAAGACAGCAGGTGATAAGTACCCCTCTCACAAGTCAAAACAATATTTGCTGGAAGTAACAAGATTCATACCCCATCACAAACAACTTGCACTGAGAAGAATTATAACTTAGTCCTGCAGTGAAATATCCCTTTTCCTCATTTTTGTCTTGCAAAATTCAGGTGAAGATCACAGCATATTCATGATAAAGTTATACAACTGATTCAGCACCACAAAATGAATCGGGAGACATGACCGTCTGTCCTGGGTTGCAGGATCACAGGTTAGCCAGGAGAGTGCATTGTACTGTTCCAGAACAAACCTGAAAAGCAAATAAGCTTCCATCAAGCCAACAGATTTTTCTCACCAGCATTTTACAGCACTAATTTAATGTGATGCAGTTGCTTTGGTATTAAACATATCAAATGGGTTTGCCAACACTTTGAAATAACAACTGTTGAATTACTGAGAGCAGATTAAAGCTAAACTTCATTTCAGTAGAAAATACTCTATTATTTTAATCAATAATCGAATCAAATCTAATCAATAATTAACCTAATCATAGTTGTTGATGATAATGCTGAGAGATTCACATACTAAAAAACAAATAAACGTGATGCTTTCTCATTAGCAAGTGTCTTATGTGCACACAACTATCTGCAAACTCTTCTACTTCAGTATTCCCACGACTCACATAAGATTCTGGCTCAAGTATTATCATCCTCCTCTCATTTATGCACTATTTTTTTAGTGAATTTAATGTTTTTCAAATAGTTCCAGTTGTAATCAACATTAATTAGTTAAATAAGAGTTTGGAGATATTTGCATTTCACCGCTGCCTTGCGGTGAAGACGTTTTTTCATTGTTCAGTGCACAGCAGTTTGTTCTGTTTGTGATGTAAGGGCAGTGACAATGAAAAAAACAAAGGCAAGAAAAACAAATATCCAGATCCACTGCAGCACTATTAAAAATGAAATGCACAACTGTTTTTGCAAGCAATCAATCATGAATACCTGAGCACATCAGAAGTTTGATTAGAATCAAGTGGATGGGAGTGTTTACTGTGGAGTAGCTCGTCTGATTGCACTGAAGGCACGTGGAGGTGCAAAGAGGCCTAAGGAGGAAGGAAGATGTTAGCAGTCAGTGTCTGATTCAACTATAACTTCCTTCCCTTTGTTCTGCTGACCCAAATATTGCAGCCACTTACTATTCTCCGGCATATAAGTTAAATAAAGCCTATCCTCAGGCAGCTCATAAGTGCAGGAATTCTTTCTCCTAGAAGCACAGTGCTAACAGTGTAATGCACCTTAGGAAATTGTTTTTAAAATATTTGTGCCTACAATAAATGATGACTAAAAAGGCAAACTCCAGTGGCACAAGATTTCTAATAATACGCAGACTTTAAAGTTCACTTGCTGTCCCCTAAGG